AAACTGTCCCGGAGCAGCGAGTGCGCAGACAGCGAGCCTTGGCGATTCGCACGATGCTGCAGGTATGTGCTCTACGTACTGCTCCTCTAATAGTTTATGGCTCACATATACTACTATAGTCGAGCCGAGCGATGCCAATGGCGTTGTTGGAGGTTTTGCTGATGCTAAAACTGGTAACATGGCGGAGTACATTCGACAATTATGCTATATTTTGTGGATGTAGTCAAAGACACGTGCTTCTCGAGCCTTGACGAGCGTCTCCTCGCAACATGGTACCCGTCGTTGGTCCTCACGCTGTTGCCGTTTCGAAAGAGTGGTCGAAGCATCATTTCCTTCGACATCGTCACGTACGCGCGTGAAATGCAGCAACTGACGTCGTTCGACGCTGCGAGTGAGATGCACACAACGCTCCGAGAGATGCATCTCCAGCGCCGGCTCAAAGCTATGCTCGAGTTTGAAGCCATGCGACGCGCGCGCCATGCTGCCTTGGGCGCGACCAGCGCAGCGCTCGACCTTGGTGAGTTTGAGCTTGCGCGTGCAGAACCCGAGCTGTCGGGGCGCACGATGCGGAACATTGCCGTCGACGAGGTGCAGCGAGTGCATCCGTATCTCGAAGGCACCATCAGCTCTGGACAAGACGGGACAGTGCTCAAGATCGACCACACGTTCAAAGTTGCCAATGCGGCGAAAGACGCCGACGGTACAAAACCGTTTACATCAATCTTTACCGTCTTGAACGGGGTACGTGTGCTACGAAACTCAAAGCTGGTTCAAGTGCTGTAGTTGTAGCCCGGCGAGGTTCTTGCCTTCTACTTTTGCGAGACCAAGAGCATTGAAGAGATCAAGGAAGAGCTCAAGCTCCTAAACAAGCGCTTGGCAGCCCCCGTGGAGCTCATCTACACAGACAACCCGAAGGCGGACGTCGACATTCTCAAGGAGATCTTTGGCCCGCAGATCAAAGTCAAGAAGGACATTTGGCACGTGCTTGACAAGTACTACAAGGCGTGCTACGCGCACTGGCTGCGGACTTGGTTCATGGGCGACCTCTCCGAGTGCTTCTTCACTGCCGACGCGGAAGACATGGCACGCGTGGCGGCTGAGATTCGCGACAAGCACCCCGAGCACATGTAGTCCCATTTCGTATGCATCTTCCTGATGTAACATTGTATAGCGGCAAAGACATTCCCGAACGACTGCTCAAGAACAGGGTGCGGCGCTACGTCCAAGATCCAGAGACCATCAAAACAAAGGTCGAGTCGCTCATCAAGAAGTACAGAGATGTACCTGGCCTCTTCAAGAAGTCGATCGACGACACGCACGCGAATGCAATGGTCGACCTCGATCTCGGCTACATCTGCGACGAGAAGGGCATCTCGTTGTACACCGACATTGGTACCAGCGACAATCCGCGGTGCGTATTGGCCTTTGAAAGTCTTTCGAGTCATGATGTTGTAGATATGTGACGGTGCGATCGACGAGCCAGCTCGAGAACCTCCATCACATCCTGCGCTCGTGCGTGCATGGCACCCGTTTGAGCATGACGACGCTCCATTGCATTCTCATGGACCGCATTTTTCGCAGGAATTTGACCAAGCGCTCGATCACCACGAAGTACCACGGCCCGCGACTGCTCGATCCGCATCTTGCTATGCAAGTGAAGGCGCTCATGGTGCAACTACAACCAACCAACCAACCCAACTGGCTCACCAGGTACGACTAATACTTCGCTCATCAACGCTTCTGACCTATACGACTAGCGTACCAACAATTGCGGCCCGTGCAACTGACGAGTCGTTCGGTGTCGTTCGCCGACAGCACATGTCGTCAGCACTGCGTGCTCTGGAGCGAGCCCGTGCCGCAATAGACGAAGCAAGGCAAGACGACGTCGACGCTGAGCCGTTGTCGTGGGCTATGCGCCGCAGTGGCGTTGTGGCGCCTGCCAGAGCGGTGCTCGAGTCTGATGAAAAATTCCTCTACCGCTTCCTCGTCGAGAGCAAGCGCTCGACCGATGACACCATGATCGCGGACGCGTGGAACGACCTACTCATCTCTTGGTGGCTCACCAAGCGCGATGTCGTACCGCTTGCGTTGTCCAGTGGCAAGGCTCTCGACGTCACTGTCGCCAACGTGGCGCTCAAGAATACCCGCCACATTGTCCTCTATGCCAAGGAGCTCAACGACGCTCGGCACGCGCTTGCCTCGACCGGGGCTGACCGCCTTGCTCAGATACAATTCAAGGACTCCCGACCCCGCAAGGTGCTCGTCCCAACGCCATTCCCACTGCGCGACGTACCTCGTACCACCAACCAGCCGATCGGCGGCTACGAAGCCGTCGCGAACGAAGTCGCACCGCCTCATGCGCCGCGTGCTACCGCATACAAACGTCATCTTGGCGAGCTCACGGACGGCGGCGCTGACGACTCGCGGCCCAAGACGAAGCGCCAGTATCGACCGTGTCCTGTGTGCTTGTGCCCCCACCGCAACCACCGCCAAAGGGGCTTTGATGAGTGCCCACTCCACAAGTTCTACAAGGCCAACAAGGACCGAATCAAGAACGGTCCCGGTGGCTCCGGCATCACCGCCTACGACAAGGCAATCGCCGAGTGGAACGAGCTACAGTCGAGCACAGACCCAGCGGCTCAAGCGTGACGACCTGCATCTAGACAGTCAACGCATACATATAGTAAATACCATTCATATCAATAAGTCGTTCATTGGAGGTTGCGTGGAGGTTCCTCCTAGCTTGGAGGCACTCGAGGCGACGTTGGCGGCGGACTCCTGGCAGCGGGCCATGCTGCCAAGCGTGCGTAAAGATGAGTGTGCTATGCGGTCGCAAAGCTGGCGCCTGCGCTGAAAGCTTGGAGTGACGCACGGCGACGCGCGGTCCCTCGGAGCGCGCCCCGCACGCTTTCCGGAAATAACGCGCATTCCATAACTTGATAAATAGTCGGTATGGGGCTTCCAGAGGTAACCTCTATAAATGGATATATTGCGAACGGGAGTGCAGTCGCCCCATGCGATTCGCACTCTGCCGTTTTTCAAAAAAAAAAGAAACGCGTCGAATCAACTGCCCGAATCTTCGACCA